ACGAGCAGTGTCAGGCCCCTCCTCGGCCGGCCATGCCAGGGCGGCCGTTGGCCCAGGTGTCCCTGGAATCCTCCAAGACAGCTCGGATCAGACCCCCCAGATCGGACCACCACCCTTGTGTAGTGAAGTCCGGAGCCCCTGTCCTCTCGGGGGTGCGCGACCGTCTGATGGTACTTTATTAGTGAATTTAATTGGTTTTAGGGTTTTGACAAATGGTCGCAGCCACGCAGAGGGGGCGCGCGTAGCGACGCCCCAAATGCTCGGCCTCCAGTGCTTCTACGTGGCGGCGCCCCCGCAGGCACGCAGAGGGCACGCGTGGCGACGGGGGCGTCGCCACGCAGAGCTTCTAAAGACCAAATAATTTGAAAGCCAATTGTTTCCACTAGCGTTCGGGAAGCGGAAGGCCGCCGGACCCCCGCTCGGGTTGTGGGCCACCATCTCGAGGTCGGCCCGGCGTGGGTTGTCCGTCGTGGGGTGGCGGAGCAGCTCGCGCTTCTTCTCCCTGAGCTGCTCCCACCGGGTGGACCAGAGCTTTTCACACAGCGCGCAGGCGACGTCCGAGGGGAACTCGGAGTCATCCTTCTCGCGTGCGGCCGCGTGGGTCCTGGAGGTACTGGAGGCTCTTCTCCACGTGCTCTCGGCCGAAGATTATCAGGAGGGGGAAAAACACAGACACAATTAATCGTCGATCCCCCAGAACATATAGGAAAATATGGGAAGTGGGGGGGAAGACAGACACCCAGAAAATATGGGAATATATGGGAAACATTTTTATTTGTGTGTATTTATTGTTGTGTCCCAGGGCCCCTTCAGATTAGCCCGAAGAAGCGAGTTCAACTCTTCGCCTGCCGCTTCCGCTTGGAGGAGGTTGTCGGGGCGCGGGGCCGCTGCTCGAAGATCGCGTCGTGCGGCGTCTCGTGCTAGTCGAAGGCCCTGCACGTCGGGAAGTCCGCTACTCCTGCGGCCCGGGGCGCCACGTTGCGATGGCGCGACCCCCGCACGGCGAGCGTGGCAGCCGCATGTCAGAGCGTGAATTACCTACCCCGCTTTCGCTTCCAGGCAAAACCAAGTCATACCACGCGCCTCCTCGTCAGGCGGCCTGACCAGTACAGGCCGTAGTTTGGCATCGCTTGGGATCCCTTGGAAGCGAGGGTGGTCAAAAGCGAGGTAGGTTTGTTTGCCCCCTAGCATGCGCCATCCCGTTGGGTGCAGTGGTCGGGAAGTCGACCGCGGTCATCAGCTGCTTCGCCTGCCTGCACGCGCGCCTGAGCCCACGGAACAACTCGCGCCCTTCCAGCCCGGTGCAGGCCGCGGCGGCGACGCGGCAGCCCACCGCGGCGAGGATGTCGAACTCCTCGGAGCGCCTGCTGGCGGCCGGGGTGCCCTTCCGGGCGACGCGGCCCTCCTCGCTAGCCTTCGGTCGGGCCTGTCTCCCGAGAGGCGGATTTTGGAAGGACAACTTCAAGTGTGCAAACATGCCCAAACATAGTCAAACATGGTCGAGCACTCGTTCCTGGACGAAGTTTTTCTGTCGGACGAATGCTGGAGACTCCTCCTGTACGGGGGACCTGCCCGACGTGGCGTCAGCCCTCCGGAGGCCCTCGAATCTGCCACGAGCAGCCGCCCGCGGTCGTCGGGGGTGGACAGAGCCCCTAACAGCGACACGCCGATTCGTGAATTGTCCGTTTCCGGCTCTCGAGAGGGCGCCGTGGCCGCTCTTTTCCAGGCCTGCGCCCGCCAGGTTTGGGCCTCAGGCCGTGTTCACGAAACCACGTTTTGCGCAAGGATTGCAACAAGACCAAGGATGGCAAAAAAAAAAACCAAGGATTAAAGGATCGCAACAAAAACACAGGATCGCAAACAAAAACGAGTTTTTTTTGCAATCCGTCGGTTTTTTTGCAATCCTTCGGGTCTGTCCGCCGCCCGCGGTCGGCCCGGCGCTGCTCCTGGCCGCCTCGGAGGCCCCCGCCCCCCGGCGAGGGGCGGCGGGCTGCCCCCTCGCCGGCGGCCCGACGCCGTGGGGGCGCGCGGGCGGGCCACGGGTGGCCGCGCGAGGCTCCGCGGGGCTGGGCTCCGGGCCGCGGGCGAGCAGGGCCGCCGCCCACGGGCCTGCGGCCCCAGTGGTATGCTTCGCTTCTCCGCTCCTCTTCTCTCCTCCGCTCCTCCTCCTCGCTCCTCCTCTCTCCTCCTCTCCTCCTCCTCTCCTCCTCTCTCCCTCCTCCTCCTCATCCTCCTCCTCCCTCAACTCTCGCCTCCTCTCCTCCTCCTCTCCTCCTCTCTCCTCCTCCTCCTCTCCTCCTCTCCTCCTCTCGCCTCCTCTCCTCCTCTCTCCTCTCTCCTCTCTCCTCCTCTCCTCCTCCGACGCCGCCGCCTTCCATCGCTGGGCGCCTCCGGGGCTGCCCCTCGCCGGCGCCCGCGTCGCTGAGCGCGCAGGCAGGCCAGGTGGCAGCACGAGGCCTGCTTTCAGTCGGGCGTGTCCCTCTACAGGAGGAGCGTTCCAAAGTAGTCCAAAATAGTCAGGCGACGATTTTCGATTATTTGTGACAGTGCTCGAGTATTCTTTGAGAGTGTGTTTAATCCTTCTTCCAAGCTCCGCCTGTAGGAGGACATGCCCAACCTCAGGCCTGCTCCGCTGACGGGCTCCTGGCCACAAGTCGTGGCCGCTGCCCGCGGCACTGCGGCCCCCGGGAAGGGCGAAGGCAGCCCGTCGGGGCGTCGTCACCGGTCCGCACGCCCTGCGGGCCTGCGAGGGAGGGCACCGCCAGAGCACCCAGCCGACCGCCCACGCAGCCCAGCTGCAGGGCGCGGCGATGGTGCGGCGGCTGTGCGCCGCCTGCGCGAGGATCCCCGCCGCGCTCGGCAGCCCGAGGGGCCCCGCCGTGACGGGCCAGGCGGCGCCGAAGCGGTAGACGCCTGCCTGGTCCGCAGCGTGCACATCCCACTTCCAGTCGGAGCTGAGCCACCCACGCCCCCCCCCCCCCCGAGGCGAAAACGTCGATGCGAAGCTCCCTGCCCGCCACCGACACCCTCGGGCATCCAGGGGGTCTCGCTGCCCTGGGGCTTCCAGCTCAGGACCCAGACGCCCCATCCTCGCAGGCCGAGAGGTTGACACCAGCACCAAGATCGGCGGTGTGCCTCCACCGAGGGAAGAAGATCCCGACCTCGGTGATGGTGGTAATATGCTGGCATCCAAGGTGGCCGAAATATTACCACCAACACCGAAATCTAGGATCGTATCCCCCTGGTGGAGGCAACCCCCTGTGTTGGTGCTGGTGCCCCTTTCCAAGCCTCCGATGCATCCCCCGATCCGAGAGGGCTCTGCATCACGGAGTCCTGGTCCGGCGGCCTGGCCCGGCGACCCCGAAGTGCACGCCTGGCGGGGGCATCGCCCGGGTCCTCGAGGGGGCCTGCTGTCGGCGCCGCCGCCGGCCTCCGCCTGCGGGCCTGGCCCGGCGGCGGGCTCCTCCGGCGGTGCACAGCGCCAGGCGCCGCGCGGGGGTGCCTCGTGGCCAGCGTGAGCCAGGGCCGCTCGGCACCCCGCTGCCGGTTCGTCCGGCCCGCTTGCCTGGGCGGCCGCCCTGCGGCTGGCGCGAGCTGGCGCCGCTCGGCGCCCAGCTGTCAGCCCGCAGGGGCCGCCCCCGCCGCGCCGCGCCATGGCGCGGCCGCGCGCGTCTTCCGGGCCCCGTCCTGGGCCCGGGCCTTCGGGCCACCTGAGGCCTGTCCCCAGCTAGGCCAAAGAAGGACGACGAGCCACCATTATGGTGGGAGAGGGAGAGGGGCACGCAGAGCAGCATGACAGAAGGAGAAACCCGCGCAAATCTGAGGGCAGGAGATCCAAACGTTTTAGCACACATCCTGTTGGGTGCGTGTTCGGCCGCGTGGAGGCCTTCTTGGGCGTGCTGGACTGATCGTTCGTTCGTTCCAAGAGGCTTCCAATTGGAAGCCTCTTGAGGCACTCTTGCCCGGTTTGGGGGCCTTCTGGCCCGAACACGTCACGTGACAAGACGCCCGAGGCCCAGGAGGCACTCGCCAAATTCAAAGAGATTCCCCAATCAGAGCTTGCCTCTGTAGGGGTCCTAGCGGATTAAAGGGTTAGGTGAGGTTGGTCGCCGATTTTGGTGGCCGGGCCCGGGTGCCCGGGTGCCCGGGTGCCCGGGTGCCCGGCGGTGCCCGGGTGCCCAGGTGGCCGGTGAGGTGCGTGGCCGATTTCGGTGGCGGGGCCCGGGTGCCCGGGTGCCCGGGGGCCCAGGGGTGAACGGGTACCCGGGGGTGCCCAATAGCCCAATAGCCCAGTAGCCCAGTAGCCCTATAGCCCTACAGCGGTATAGCCCTACAGCGGTATAGCCCTGTAGCCCTATAGCTTTATATCCCTATAGCCCTAATAGCCTTATATCCCTATAGCCCTATAGCCCCATAGCCCATATAGCTCTATAGCCCCATAGCCCTATAGCCCTATGGCCCTATAGGTCACAGTCCTATAGCCCTATAGCCCGATAGCCCTATAGCCCTATAGCCCTATAGCCCAAATAGCCCTATAGCCCTATAGCCCGATAGCCCTATAGCCGTATAGCCCTAAAAAAATCGGATCAGGGTTTTCTGCGGTATCATTTAGAATTCGGGGTAAAGGCTCCTCAGGATTGTGGACTGAGGCACAGAGGATTGGGCATGAGCAGGAGACTGGAGGACAGACTAACGCTTGCCTCAGGGCACGGTGGCGGATTTCTTGCCACTACCTCCATGTATGAAGACGAAGGTAGATGTGGTGCCGAATTTCTTATTTAGAGGCACGACGCACAGCAATGTCCCGCTGTGGAGCACTGGCGGAGGTAGCAGTCCTCGAGTCAAAACAAAAAAAGTGACGGCTTCAGCCCAATGTCAAGCAATTCTCGGTTCTTTCGGTTTCTTTGAATGCAGTTTGGCGCTGTCAGACGGAAGCCGTGGCCAGAGTTGTATTCAGCCTACCTCTCTTCTGGATCCTCCCGCGGCTCTCTTGCGGAGAGGCTCACCTGAACTGCTGCTTCAAGCACTTCCTGTTTTTCGTGACGGAGTGCGGATGGCTAAAATTGGAGGATGAGGATCGCAGGCTATGTTGCTCCCCCAACCCCCATTGATCCGGGGGGCATTCGATCTACGGGACACTGCAGATCAAACGTTATTCTATGACTTCTCGGGGATGGGGTTCCCTGATCATCATCATCATCATCATCATCATCATCATCATCATCATCATCATCATCATCACCACCACCATCATCATCATCATCACCATCAGCAGCATCATCACCATCATCGTCATCATCATAATCTTAATATATTGCATCATCATCTTTTTCAGCATCATCATCAGCAGCATCATCATCACTGCCGTCATCATCATCATCATCATCATCATCATTATCATCACCACCACCATCATCATCATCTTCAGCATCATCATCATCAGCATCATCAGCATCATCATCATCATCATCATCATCATCATCATCAGCATCATCATCATCATCATCATCATCATCATCATCATCATCATCATCTCCATCATCATCACCACCATCATCAGCATCAGCATCATCATCATCAGCATCAGCATCATCCTCATGATCCTCATCATCCTCATCATCATCACCATTACCATCACCATCACCATCACCATCACCATCACCATCACCACCATCATCACCACCAGCATCACCACCAGCTCGAGCGTCAGTGCGGCTTTCGCCCACTCCCACAGCACCCTCCCAACAGCAGAAGCAATGGCAGGCTCGATAGTCATTGCGGGCCCCCCACAGCCTTGGGTAGCTCGATCGTCAAAGCGGGCGCATATCCACCCGTGCCCCCATAGCACTGGGAAGCCGGACCGCCACCGCGGGCACCCGCGTGGCCTCCCGAGCTCCAGGGGGGCATCCCTCGGCCCGCGGAAGTGCAGCGGCGGCCCATGCCAAGACACACCCTGCTCGCCTCCAGAGTGCCCTCGGTTTCCTGGGTTTCGATGGCTTTGGTGTTGGCAGCGCGACGCTCCCGTATTCCCAGAAGTCAATCGACGTCCAGGAGTCTCGGGGTTGGGTTTTTGTTGCGGAAGGTTTCTCGTGGACTGGCCTCCGCGGTATCGATACCGCTGCCCTTGCCTCGCTCTCGCCTTGTTGGGCCTCCCGGGGGGGCCCTCGTTCCCCCGGCCGGATTCGCCTCGGAATCCTTGTCGGAGAGTTCTCTCCAGGAGAGGTCACAGGAGCAGCAGTTTCAGGATTTCGGAGGGAGGGAAAGGGACCCATACCTCTACCCTCTCGTTGTTTTCCCCTTTCTGGGCCTCCTGGGCCTCCGTCGTCGCCACCGCTGGATTCGCCTCGAAGTCCTAGTCGGAACGCACCCCAGGACACGTCCGGGGAGTAGCGGTATCGGTACCTTTTGGTGTTTCCATTCTTATTCTTGTCCCCCCAGTTTTTCTGTTGGGCCGTGCGACGCCGACGGAGAGAGCGATCATCGCGGGGGCCACTTAGGGTACCGGATTTAAGGCATTGGACTGCCATCGGGCACGCCTTACTTGCTTTTTCCCCTCCCCCAAGTCCCACAGCCCCTCTTCCCCTCGTTTCACTCCCCCCACCCCCATTCCGCTTCCCTCGGTAGCCCACGCTGCTTCCCCCCTCTCCCAGTCCTCTCCTGCTCATTCCCTCGGCATCTCCCTTCCTTCCCCCCCCTCTCTCCGTCCTCCTCCTCCTTCTCCTCCTCCTCTTCCTCCTCCTCCTCCTCCTCCTCCTCCTCCTCCTCCTCCTCCTCGAAGCGCGCTTCGCGCACAGGCACACGAGGGGGAGGGCGTTGCAGGAGGTGGTTGATGCCAACTTGACTGCCTGTACGCTCGTGCACCCCCATCAGCTGGCCGACAAGGCTATGAGAGAATGGGACAAGATATTGTCACTGCATGATGTGGCCGCGCCCGAGCTCCCACCCGATGCTTCTGAATGGGGAGACCTCCCTGCGTTGACGGTGGAGGACCTCAAGCACGCTATTCTGCAGTTTCCTTGGGCGACGGGAGTCGGCCAGTTCAGTTTTGCGCCTCGCAGCCTGATGTTTCTCAGGCAAGCAGGTCTCGAGTCTCTAGCGCTGTTGTCTATGAAGTGCGCGAGCCTGTTATACTGGCCTTCGGGAAGACTCCTCCCGCAGCTCGTTCGATTGCCCAAGCCCTCCGGGGGGTGTCGTCTTAGTGCGCGTTTGAACACCCTCCTGAGGATTGGGGGGCGGGCCAGGAGGCCCCTCGCGGCCCAGGTGGGAGTCTGAGCATGACCTTGACTGCTTCTGGGGCTCAGGGGCTGGCAGGCCCTCGTCGGACAGTGCGTTCTCGTTAAATTTACACGCTGAGATAGCGCATGAGGTAGGTGCGGATAGCCTCACGGTGTTCATTGATATGCTGACATGCTATGAACCAGTCATTCTGAGTAGTTTGCTTCATGAGGCTAGGTTGAATCAGTTTCCTGTGAGGCTAGCGTGGGTGACAATTCAAACCCATCTTCAACCTCGGTGCCTCCGAGCCTTTTCCTTCCTCTCTACACCCGTTCAGTCCAACCAAGTACCCTTGCTGGTTGTTCCATGGCCACAGCCATGCTGAGATTGCTCCTGACGAGGAGCCTCAAGGAAAGCATGACTCTGTATCCGTCGGTCAAGCCCAGAGCCCTGATCGATGATGCCAGTTTTCATTGGACGGGGGAGCGGGTGAGGGGGGGAGCAAGATAAGCATGCCAGAGACCTGGCTAACGCTGTGCATGGTTTTTGCCCATCTGCTCGGCCTCTGGGGCTGATCGTTCAGCCTGGCAAGTCTGGTTTTGGTGCTAACACGGCACGAGGACGAGATAGGTTCGCGCGGCTGGTCAAGCCAGCGCACATCAAGGCCAGAAGAGCGATTCGGAACCCAGGGCACGAAATGCACGACACTCGAATGCTTTGCTTGCAAGAGAAGGCAAGGCTGAAGAAGTTGATGTCACGTAGGCGCAAAGTTTGGGGGGTTGAAGCACGCTGCGGGGGAGGCGGTCAGGTCTCTCCTTTGGAGGACTGGGCTGCTCCCAGCTGGAGGTCACGGATCAGGCGTGTCAGGAGCCTCCGACACCGCGTTCCGTGACCTCCGCATCTTTGCGGGAGGCATGTGTGGGGCCAAACCCAAAGCGTCGCCCACCCTGTTTCCAGCCACGCAAAAGGATGACAGGTTCGACCCTATTTTTGAGACGACGGTTCCGATTGTTGCGAGGCTTGCTTCGTTTGTGTGGGACAATAGGGCCGCGCCCGGCCGCTTTCGCAGGGCCTGGGGGGCAGTCAGGTGTAGGTTGCAGAATCGTGCCTCGTGGACTGGAGCCCGCGGCCCCATCTCGACTGTTGGGGCCACGCTCCTGCGCGCGGGGTGGAATCCGATTTCCCCAACGGCGCTTGTCGATGACACCGGCAGCCAGACCAGTTCAATTTGTTTGAGGTTCTTTCAGCAGACGTGACGGGGTCTACTCGAGGAGAGCCTTCGCCGCTGGCAGGTAGATCGGATTCCCCAACACCTCCCCCAACAGCGTAGGAGAGAGCTGCTGGAGGAGGGGCATGCAAAAATCAGGAGGGGAAAAAACACACAGACACAATTAATCGTCGACTCCCAGGAAAATATGGGAAAATATGGGAAGTGGGGGGAAGACAGAAACCCAGAAAATATGGGAACATATGGGGAATCTGTTTATTTGTGTGTATTTATTTGTGTGTCCCAGGGCCCCTTCAGAAAAGGTGGTGCTGCCGATGTCCAGTGCGGCGAGGCGGGGGGCCCTGCGCACGCTCTGGTCATCGGGGGCTTGGGCTCCCGAGCGGTTGCGCTCCATAGGGCCCCGTGGCACGCCGCAGTGTTTCTTCTGCCGGCAGGCCGTGCGCAACGACGCCCAGCAGCGGTTCGAGTGCGAAGTTGTTCAGGAGGGAAAAAAACAGGACGAACTCCCAGACACAATCAATCGTCGACTCCCAGGAAAATATAGGAAAATATGGGAAGTGGGGTGGGAAGACAGAAACCCAGAAAATATAAAAAAATATGCGGGATATTTTTATTTGTGGGTATTTATTTGTGCGTCCCAGGGCCCCTTCAGTTGTGTTGGGCCGTTTAGATGAACCAGTGCCGGGCAGCATCTTCGAGTTGAGGTCGGCCATCCAGGCCAAGTGTACGTCGCCTGCCGGGGTCGAGCAGCTGTATTCAATCTTCGGGCTGCCGCCCATGCCGCCCATGCCGTCGCCTCCCAGTGATGAATCTCCTGTCTCGGGGTGGGGGGATTGGCGAGTGGCTTGGGGGCGGGGGGCTCTTCACAGACGGATCGAGCCAGGCGTCGTCGATCCCAGGGCTGGCCAGATGCGTATGGTCGGCACTCGGGATCGACGAGCCTGGCATGGTTTTAAAGGGACATTTTCGGCGCCCTGCTAGGCATAGTGCAGGCTGTACCCAGGGCTGAGCACGACACAGCCCTCAAGGCAAGCGAGGTTGCGCAGAAGCCAGCTGTAGTAACTTCTGATCGTTTAAACTTGGTGCGTGACGGGATGGCTTGGTTAGCGGAGGCCACCGCGTCCAGATCTCGGCACGCCTAGACATGGGACAAGACTCGCAGGACCTGTGCAGACGGGCCTCCTCCTTCCTTTGAGTGGATCCCTGCCCGTCGAGAGCTCGAGGCTGTGATGGAGGCCCCAGGGTGCGATGTGTCTCGCCCCATCGGGAACGAGTGGGCTGACTTTTTCGCCAAGAAGGGACCTTTATCTCACGCGCCAGCCCAAGTCCTGCAGGATTTCCACAAGCAGATTCTGAGGGCAACCAAAGACCACTCGAGTGTGTTCGCCTGGATGGTCCAGGCTGCAGCCAAGAAGGCGTTAGAGCTCCAGCCGAGCGAGGGAACACCCTCGAACGTTGGTCGAATCGGGTCTCCCCCCCAAGCTTGTGCTAGACTCGCACGATTTCGGATTTTGTGGGCGGCTGGCCGAGCACCTTTGCTTGAATTGCAATTGGTTCGCCAGGAGCCGTGAATCGATGAACGCTTTGCGTGCCAGGCCGTGTATCCCAAGCGGGTTGCAGAAAGCGGCGGCGGCCCGTTATTCCCTACCTAGGCTCTGCCTAGAAGGGTTCTTACTCCATGGGCTTAAAGGGGCCGGGCAGTGGAAATCGCCCCGGGCGGTTCCCCCGGCATCCGCCCCGCGGTTCCCCCAGTTGCGTCCCCTTAGCTTGGCGTTGCTTATCTCATCTTAGCTTCGCTGATTTCATCTTAGCTTAGCTTAGCTTCATCTCGGCGGGTTGCAGAAAGCGGCGGCGGCCCGTGATTTTTTCTCACCCCAGGGTCCCATCCGCAGGGGCTCCAACTTCTAGGTAGGGTCTCCAACTTCTAGGTAGGGTCGCACTGGGGTAATTTTTTCTCACCCCAGGGTCCCTTTCGCAGGTGCCGGAGGCGGTGGATGCCGCAAGGCGTGCCGCCGCTGCCTTCGAGGAGGGCCACGGCCCCTCTGCCGAAGGCCCTGCCGGGGGGCCACACGGCGGTCGGGCGGGCGTCGCCGCCGCCGGGGGTCGATCGGGAGGCGGCACTTGTACAACGAGCTCGGTCATGGAGCCGAGAGGTTTGGATCGGAGGGCCACAACTATACACCAACACCGATCCTGGCCCAGGATCACCCTGGGCCCAGGATCGGTGTATATGCCTTCTTGCGCAAGGCAGGAGGGCGTATACACCGATCCTGGGCCCAGGGTGATCCTGGGCCAGGATCGGTGTTGGTGTATAGTTGGTGCCTTCCTAATTGGAGCCACAATTCACCACCCACCCAAACCACCCCAACCCAACCCTCAGGCTCAGATTTACCCTCGATTTCCAGTGGGGGGGGGGGGTCGGTAAACACCGAAAAAACATGTGGAACCCTTACCCCTTCCAACCCGAAGTTCGGGTCTTCAGGTTGGGTTGGGGTGGTTTGGTAGGTAGTCAGTCATCTGTCTCAGCTGTGTCGCGTACAGTCGGGGCGCTAAACAAGGAAGCCCTTTCGTTGGGGAGGGGCTCCGCGTTCCTTACTTGTTTCACAGCTCGCCTCAGGTTTTCCTGATGTTTTCGATGGCAAATCGAAGTTCAACTCATAGTAAAAAGGGGCCTCGTTCCTTATTTAGGGTTCCTTGGGTCAACGCCCCGACTGTGCAACGAACTCGGTCATGGAGCCGAGAGGTTTGGAGCCACAGTCATTCACCACCCACCAAAACACCCCAACCCAACCCGAAGGCTCAAATTTACCCTCGACTTCCAGTGGGGGGGGGGGGTCGGGAAACACCGACAAGACACATGTGGAACCCTTACCCCTCCCAACCCGAAGTTGGGGTCTTCGGGTTGGGTTGGGGTGGTTTGGTAGGTAGTCAGTCATCTGTCTCAGCTGTGTCGCGTACAGTCGGGGCGCTAAACAAGGAACCCCTTTCGTTGGGGAGGGGCTCCGCGTTCCTTGATTGTTTCACAGCGCGCCTCAGGTTTTCCTGATGTTTTCGATGGGCAATCGAAGTTCAACTTATAGTAAAAAGGGGCCTCGTTCCTTATTTAGGGTTCCTTGGGTCAACGCCCCGACTGTGCAACGAACTCGGTCATGGAGCCGAGAGGTTTGGAGCCACAGTCATTCACCACCCACCAATCCACCCCAACCCAACCCGAAGGCTCAAATTTACCCTCGACTTCCAGTGGGGGGGGGGGTCGGGAAACACCGACAAAAACACGTGTGGAACCCTTACCCCCCCCAACCCGAAGTTCGGGTCTTCGGGTTGGGTTGGGGTGGCTTGGTAGGTAGTCAGTCATCTGTCTCAGCTGTGTCGCGTATAGTGTGGCGGAAGGCCGCATCCCAACCCGAAGCTTCGGTCCGTGCGCAGGGGACATGTGGCGGTGGCGTCACCGCGCGCCAGCGCGGAACCCGCAGATTTGTCCCGCGCCACGCGCGGGCTCCAGCCGCGGACGGGGGCCGCTTGCCCGTGAGATCGCCCTCGACGCGAGGCCTCCGCCGTCGGCCTCCCGACGGGGTGGGGGGCGCCGCTGTGGAGAGAACGCCGCGCGCCGCGGCGGTGTCTGGCCCCGCAGTGCAGCCCTCTTTTTCACTGCTGAGACGGCTCCGCACGCTCGGACTCGCTCTTCGTCGCCGGCTGCCTCCTCCTCTTCCTCCTCTTCTTCCTTCTCGCGCCTCCCCCCCCCCCGCCTCCTCCCGCTTCCCGCCTCTCCCCGCAGACTGTCGCGCCCGCCTTGCAGGAGTTCGACCTGGTGGAGGCACGCGACATGGTGCCCCTGCAGGACCTGGTGCAGAAGTTCGAGGACGCGCGCGTTGTTGTCTTCTGTTTGGGTTGGCAGCTGGTGGAAGACGGTTGGGGGCGGGGAGGGGACGGGAAGGACGAGAAGCAAGACGGGGAGTACGAATTGATGTTGACGGGCACGGGGGGAGAAGGCGGAAGTGGAGGATGTAGGTGGGGACGGAGGGGGGGGAGTGGGGCGGGAGGACGATGATGAGGATGGAGATGATGACGGTGATGACGATTGAACTGATGATGGTGCTGATTCTGATGAAACCGGTGATTCACATGATGATTGCGACGATGGGTGTGGCGGCGTTGTTCAACGTGTTTTTTGTGTGACGACGGTGATGATGACGGGATTCGTGTGGAGGGGGCGGGTCACGAGCGTGAAGCGACGATACGGATGTGAATCGGGATGGTTGTGATGATGTCGATTAGGAGGATGCGGAGGGGTAACATTAGGAATCGTGTGAGAACGCTGAGGTGACATAGGACGGGGAAAAGGGATAGTAGGATGATGACGCTGATGCTGTTGCTGCTGCTGATGATGATGATGACGATGATGATGCTGCTGATGATGTGATGATGATGAGCTGCTGATGATGACGATGATAATGATTGATGATGATGATGATGATGATGATGATGATGATGATGATGATGATGCTGCTGCTGCTGCTGCTGCTGCTGCTGCTGATGCTGATGATGATGATGATGATGATGATGATGATGATGATGATGATGATGATGATGATGATGATGATGATTCTGGGGAGGAGGAGGAGGAGGAGGAGGAGGAGGAGGAGGAGGAGGAGGAGGAGGAGGGTGGAGGAGGATGAGGAAGGATGTGTGGGAGGAGGCAGCATCCGAAAAGGGCATGAGAAGGGGATACGGGAGGCGGCGCGAGGGATGATGGGGGACAGTTTGGCAGGAGCTGGGGAGACGTGTCGTATGGATCGCCGGGGGAAGTGTGGGCACCAGGCCTTGTTGTCCTCGGCGTTGTCGTCGCTATCTTGCCATTCGTCGTCGTCCTCCTCCTCCTAGACAAGTCACCGTCCACCCTCCTTACTCTATATAGTTGAATTGGAGTGCAGCCCGCCAAGCTACCTGCGACCTGGCCACATCCCGAGCGGAACTGGGGCTTGGGCTGGGGGGCTGCGGTGAGTGCGGTGGCCCCGCTGGGCCACTGGGAGGGCAGTCGTGATTCCGAGACTCCTGGGAAGGGATCTCGTGCCTGCCGCACGGCGGCGGACAAGCTCGAAGCCTCTCGCGGCAAGGTGTCGAACTTGAGACTAGACTTGAGCCAAATGGCTACGGGAGGAGGAGGAGGAGGAGGAGGAGGAGGAGGAGGAGGAGGAGGAGGAGGAGGGGAGGGGGAGGGGGGGAGGGAGGAGGAGGAGGAGGAGGAGGAGGAGGAGGAGGAGGAGGAGGCGGAGGAGGAGGAGGAGGGAGGAGGAGGAGGAGGAGGAGGAAGAGATCGACAGGGCACGAGAGCAGCGAGATGCCTCCTGGAGTGCAGGCCCTTCTCCTCTCGGCCTTCCTGGGGTCCTTCCCCTGCCCGCCCCGCCCGGAACGCGAGGCGACCCCAGGGTCAGCGCCAGCGGCGGGCGCCGAGGCGGCGGGGGCCCAGCAGGCCCTGACGCCACCGGGCCTCCGCGCCTCCGCCCTGACCTCCCCCCACCTCGTCCTCCTCCTCGTCCTCGTCCTCCTCTCCTCCTCCTCTCCTTGTCCTCCTCCCGTCCTCGCCTCCTCCTCCTCCTTCCTCCCTCCTCCTCCCTCCTCCCTCCTCCCTCCTCCCTCCTCCCTCCTCCCTCCTCCCTCCTCCCTCCTCCCCCCTCCCTCCTCCCTTCTCCCTCCTCCTCCCACCTTCGCCCTCCTCTGCGCTCAGGGGCAGTGATGCGGTAGAGGGGAAGCCACCAGTGGGCCCCCGCCGCCCCCCCGAAGCTCGGAGTTGGCACGCGCGGGGAAGACTGCCATCGAAGTGCGACTCATCCAACCCACCGCCAACACTGATGGTTGAGGGGGGCATCGACACGTGAGTGTGGCAGAAGTGTTCGCTAATTTCTTCCGAGGCCTGTGGGGGGGACCGGGTCGAGGTTTCCGGTATGAGGTTTGAGGTTTTTGGTCAGGCCCCGGGAAACGACACCATTTTTTGCAAAGTCACATTTTCCAGCATTTGTGCCTTTTTTGTTCGTTGCGCAGGAGGGTTCGGGTTTGTGTCCGGGTTTTGGGGGGTCTTGCAGGCTTTTAGGGCCTGTGTTCGGGTTTACTTGGGAAGTGCTGCAGTGCAGTTTTTTGTTCGTGCCGCCGTCTGGAAATGTGGTTTCGAGAGATGTTGGGTGTCCGGGCCCAGCGTGTCCGGGTGTACGGGGCCCTGATTCTTAGCATCGCTCGGACGTGTGCATTTTTCCTTCGGCGAGGGCCATCGAGGAACATCCTTGACCATTTGGCGAAAAAAACACGCACGAAACCGAACAAAAACACAAAATATGGACGTCCGAGCGATGGCGAGGATTTGGGTCGTGTCGTCGGTTCTCGTCTGCTGTCCAGCCTCTTTTTCTGCCCTCCGGCAGCCGCGCCTCGCCGACGGCGTGCTGGGGGGCCCCCAGAGATCGGGCCGACAAGGCCGCCGGAGAGTCGAGCCATGGCCCGACGAAAACCGCCAGGGGCAACTTCCGAGGCGGGGTCCTTTGGCAGTGGAAACAATTGGTTTTCAAAGTATTTGGTCTTTAGAACCTCCTCCTCCTCCTCCTCCTCCTCCTCCTCCTCCTCCCTCCTCCCTCCTCCCTCCTCCTCCCTCCTCCTCCTCCTCCTCGCTCTGCGTGGCGACGCCCCCGTCGCCACGCGTGCCCTCTGCGTGCCTGCGGGGGCGCCGCCACGTAGAAGTACTGGAGACCGAGCACTTGGGGCGTCGCTACGCACGCCCTCTGCGTGGCTGCGACCATTTGTTAAAACCGTAAAGCCAATTAAATTCACTAAGAAAGTAGGCATAGGGGGGATGCATCGACACTCAATCGCCCATGGATCGCCGATAGGGGTCTGACAGCCCCAGCCCGCCCAGGAACACGCGAATTCGCTACCGCGGGCCTATCGCCGATGAATCGGCGATGTATCGCCGATTCCAGGACGATGCTTCCCCCCTATGCCAGTCCCCCGCTATTGCTGCCCCTTGCGCGTAAGGGTGACCCTTCGCCGGAGTGACCATTGGTGCGGCTTCACACAGTGAGCGTGCCAGCTAGTGCTGGGGGGACCCCTGTGACACAGGGGTCCCCACAGCACCGGCTTGCGCGTTTGGATTTGGCCTCCCCCTTTGCTCCCTGCAGCTGCGCACCAGAGTAGGGGGGCACATGCGAACCCTACCCCTACCCCCCACGATCTCTGAGGGGGAGGGTGGGGTTCACTTCGCTCGGGAGCTCCGGAACGAAGTGAACCCCACCCTCCCCCCAAAATCGGGGGGGTAGGGGTAGGGCTCGCATGTGGCCCCCTACAGAGGTCACTCTTGCCCAGGGTCATTCCTGCGCGTGGCCGGCTCCCCTCGACTCCGAGGCGGGGCGTTTTTGCTGTGCACGTCCGCTGCCCGAGGAGAGCCGACCCTCCGTGGACAGCCAGTGGCGGTGGGCATGGGCGCGCTTTTCCGCCCGCCTGGGGCCCTGGGGGTATCCGTGTCCACCGCCTCCTGGGGACCTGGTCCATAGTTCCCCCAGTGTGGCCACAGACACATATATGTGCTTTTATATATATATATATATAGATGAGCGTATACACATATATATATATATTCATTTATACATACGTATGTGTATTCATATTTGGATGCGTCTGTGTGTACGCATACATGGATACATGTATAAGCACGTGTATGTACACATGTACGTTTGCATGCATGCATGCATGCATGCATGCATGCATGCATGTGTGTATGTCTGTATGGTTGTATATATATATAGGTATGTACGTATGCATGTAAGCATACGTGGATGTATGGATGTATGCATGTATGGATGTATGACTGTATATATGCATGCATGTATATATGTATACATACATGTATGTGTGTAGGCGTGAACACACATATAATTACATATTTGTGTATGTGTATATATACGTTCATCTATATGTATTTGTATACATACGTGTGTGTATACATATGTATATATAGTATATGGGGAGGGGGCCCCAGAGGCGCTGGCGTGCACTGACTTATCTTCTGGCCGTTTCGGGCGTGTCGGGGGTGCTAGAACGCGTCGCAGGAGGAGAAGGGGGGCGACGAGAGGGCCCGAGAGACGTCCACGAGGGCGCCAAGATGGCCCAAGAGCGTTCCAAAAGAGCCCAAGACCGCACAAGAGCGTTTCAACATTGGTCATGGCTTGAAGACAGCTGAAGAAGGCTTCAAGACGGCCAAGATGCCCACACAAGGACTCCCACGAAGAACTCAGGATGCGAAACAAGTAGGTTATATCATTGGTTTTTACAGGTTTTTCGTGTTCTCGCTGTTTCGTGCTTCCGACGGTCCAAGACAGCTTACGAGGCCCCAGAAATCAGCTCAATACGGCCCAAGAGGCACCTTCAGAGGACGCCCCAGCGGCGCAAGAGAGTCCCAAGACGGCCCAAGAGGCGCCCAAGAGCGCCCAAGAGGGCCCCAAAACGGCTCCAAGAGGGGCCCAAAAAGCAGACCACGAACCGACAATTCGATCCTTCCGCCCAAATAGGCCCACCAGAGCCCAAGAGACCCCGCAGAAGCCCCAAAGAGGCCCCAAAGAGGTCCCAAAAGAAGCCCCTAAGGGCACCCCAAACGGCCCCCAAGAGGCCTCCAACACTGCTTTCAAGAGGCCCCCGGGAAGCCTCCCACGAATTCCAACCGAATTTCCAAGAGGCTTCTAACCCACAACCCAGTCACGGTGGCAGGATGGGCCGAAGGCAACTGGATGGTCCAAGGTGCCGAAGGCGGCCTCCAGACGGCCCAAGAGGCCCCCAAGATACCCAGGAGGCTCCCAAGAGATCTCCCAACAGAGCTCGAAGAGGCCAAACAACATGTATTTTCATTGTTTTTGGTTTAGTACTTTTGGCGTTTCCGCCTGATCCGCTTCTCTACGCTGCAAAACGCCCCAAGAGGCTCGGATAATCGCCCCAAGACGGCCCAAAAGGTTTCAAACGCGTCCAAAGACGGCACAATAGGCTTCAAAAGCGCTGAAGAGACGTCCAAGACGGCCCGAGAGGGCCCCAACCGCGGCCCAGGATCTGGATCGTGAACCGAGAACCCGATATCTTCGCCTCAGGAGACCCCCAGGAGGCTTCAAGAGGTCCCCAAGAAAGAAGCCCAAAGAGGTCCAAAAGAGCCCCGAGAGAGGCCCCGAGGGCACTTGAGAAAAACAGGAATTCGAATATTTCGTGTTTTAGTTCGCCTGGATTCTTCGCTACGCTTGCAATAAGAAGGATATATCCTATTTCCCCCTCCTCCTCCAGTTCTTCCTCCTCTGCGGCCTCCTCCACATTCTCCAACTTCTCCTCCTCCTCCTCCTCCTCCTCCTCCTTCTCCTCCACAAAGGAACCCCTTGACCTCTCCTTCTTCTCCCTCTTCCTCTGGCTACGTCCAGCCGCGGCGAATGAAAGGGCATGCGAAGTGCGTTTTGGGCCTGTCTTAAGCTGTCGTGGGTGGACCTTAGGAAGTCTTGGAAGCCACCTGGGCCGTCTTCGTGGTTCTTGGAAGCCCTGGAGAACAAGTGTAATGGAATAGAGACCTCCAAGATACCTCCAAGAGTTCGACCATCCAGCCTAGCTGCTCCTTCTGCACGTGAACCAGGCTGACTCTGGCCTCGGTCCACACGATCCAGAGCTAGGCGGCGCACCGGCCTGCCAGGATGTTGTAGCACGGCTGCAGACTCTGCATTTTGTACCTGAGGATGCGAGAAGAAAGATGACGACAACGATGATGATGTTCACCCCAATCAGCTTGAGAAACACCCGCTGGAGGATCCCACATTGCACGAAACCGCCCATTGAGTAGTAAGGCTGCCCGCTCGCTGTCAGGCACCATATTTGGCAAAGTGTGCGGGTGGATTCTTGTCCGGGCCCGCCATCCAGCCTAGCTAGAACTTGAGCGCGCGCGAAGCGCGCGCGATGGTTCTTGTGTGTGTGTGTATATACACATGTGTCGCAAGGCCCCAGGAAAGAGAGGACCCAGGGACTTTTCGAGCGCTTGGAACCATGGATACGGACCTGCAAGGGAACCCGGGAAGCGGGCCGCGCCCACCGAAGCCGGTCCGGAACCAGGAGCCGGGAACCAGGAGCCTGGAGCCCGGGAGCCCCCAGTCGCGCACCGGAGTCGGCCCGACCGCTTCACCTTCTCTTCCAGTTTCTGCCAGGACCCCTGCAGTCCGAGCATCTTTTTTGGGTGGAGGGTAAGGGGTGAAATTTGAATGGATGTTTCGATGGATTCTTGATGTTTAACTCTGTAAAAGGTGGATCACATAACGAATTGTTTTTCGAGGCGCAGGCGCCCACATGGATTTCACCCTGGGCCCTCCACCCTAAGAAAATGCTCAGGCAGTGCGAGCGCCGAGGGGGGAAGCACACGACTGGCCAGGAAGCAAAATTTGGGGGTCCTGCGGGGGGCGGGCCCCGAGTGGGGAGCCCCAGGGCCCTGCCCCATGCAGGACTGACCCGACCGTTTCCCCTTCTCTTCCGGTTTCTGCCAGGATCCCCGGTAGTGCGAGCGCCGAGGGGGGAAGCACGACTGGCCAGGAAGCAAAAGGGGGGTCCTGCGGGAGACGAGCCCCAAGTGGGGAGCCCCAGGGCCTTGCCCCATGCAGGACTGACCCGACCGTTTCACCTCCTCTTCCGGTTTCTGCCAGGATCCCCGGTAGTGCGAGCGCCGAGGGGGGAAGCACGACCGGCCAGGAGGCAGATCTGGACGCCCGACATTGGTGCGGAAAGAATGGGTGCGATGCCCAACAGCAAAGGTCGCCCCAAACCAGCCCATTTTTGTGCCGTGCCCATTTTTGTTGTTGGGCACTGTCCCCATTTTTTTTTTTCGCGTGCCCCTGTCGGGCGTCTCGATCGCAAGAGGGGGGGTCCTGCGGGAGGCGGGCCCCAGGTGGAGAGCCCCAGGGCCTTGCCCCAGGACTGGCTCTCCTCGTCGTCCTGGCTCGTGGTTCTTGTGGGCGGTGCCTGGGCCCGCGGAGGGCCCCGGGGGGTCAGGTCGGGCCTGTCCCCCTAGAGGGGGAGTTTCGACGAGAATTTAAAATATACACTAAACATACACTCCAAAAAGGCTAAGAAACCCATTCAACAAAAAAGAAGTGCCCAGACTATCTTGTTGTGATTGTTGGACCTTTTTGGGGGTATTTTTGATTTTTCGTCGACGCTCCCTGTAATTAAGGGGGACAGGCCCGACCTAATTAACCCCAGGGGGCCGAGGAGGACGGACCCCGTTTCCGGGGCCCAGCTCCTGCGAGCCGGGCGGCGCGTCGGAGAGGCGGGGCTCCCCGAGAGGTCTCCGCCTCGCAGTGGCTCGACGGCGCGGTCCAGGAGGAGGCGGCGCCCTCCTCGCAGCCACCCCCCGCCGCCCAAGAGGTTCCAGTGGCCACCTGCCGCCGAAGACGCTGACGGCGGCGACGACGAAGATGTTGACGACGACGACGACGACGTGGAGGACGTGGACGACGACGGCGGCGGCAGCGGCGGCGGCGACGACGACGACGACGACGACGACGACGACGACGACGGCGGCGGCGGCGGCGGCGGCGGCGACTACGTTGTCGGCGGCGGCGGAAGCGTCGACGACGACAATCACGGCGGCGGCGATGGCGGCGGTGGCGAAAGCGGCCGCTACGAAAGCGGCTGCGACCGCTGCCGCTGTTTGCTCTTCTGCCCTCATCTACGAAGGTGGCAGTCTTGTTTTTAGTGTGATGCCTTCGCCTCCTCCGCACGCGTCCCGACTCCACCCATCTCCTTCTTAACCTATATATATATATAGAGAGAGAGAGAGAGAGAGTGAGAGAGAGAGAGAGATACACGCGTGCACCTTATGTATGCGTGAATACGCACATCTATACACACACGCAGTCGTACAAACAAATGGACCCCTCCCGTCCTGGGGGCGGCCACTCCGCAACCATCCAGGAACGCTTTTTGCTACCCTCCTGGTTCGATTCCAAAGGCGGCCCGGAGAGGCCAAGAGGGCCCCGAGACGGGACAAGAGGGCCCCAGAAAACAGCCAATAGGGTCCAATTGGCCTCCAAGACAGCTCAAGAGGGCTCCAAGACGCCCACGATGGCCCCAAGACCGCCCGATAGGCAACAATGAAGCCCCAAGAGAGCTCCGAGAGGACCCCCAAGAGGTCCCAAAGGGGGGGCAAACATAAGTGATTTCGTTTTTTTTTTTTTTTTTTTTTTTTTTTTTTTTTTTTTTTTTTTTTTTTTTTTTTTTTGTTTTTTTTTTTTTGTTGTTTTATATATATATATACAAAAACAATGTTTTTCGCGTTCTCGCGTCATGGGCGACTCGCCAAGATGGCCCCAGAGCCCCCCAAGACCGCTCCAAGACGGCTCGAGAGGCCCCGAATAGGGCCCCAAGACGGTCCAAGAGGGTCCCCAAATGGCCCACGAGGCGCCCAATACCGCCCAAGAGGACCCCAAGACCCCAAGAGGTGGAACACGAACCGACATTTCGATCCTTCCGCCCAAACAGGCCCTCAGGAGGCCCCCAGAGGCCCCCAAGAGAGCCCAAGAGGCTCCCAAGAGGCGCCACGAGGCCCCCAAGAGGCTTCAAAAGAGGCTCCAAGAGACCCCCAATCGGCCCCCAAGAGACCCCCAAAACTGCCTCCAAGAGGCACCCGAGTGGCCTCCCACGATGTCCAAACGAACTTCCAAGAGGCCTCTCTCCCACAACTCCAACAAGGTGGGGGGATGGGCCGAAGGCCACTAGACGGACCAAGCCGCCCAAGATGGCCTCCAGGCGGCCCAAGAGGCCCCCAAGATACGCAAGAGGCCTCCAAGAGGTCTCCAACGAGTGCTCGAAGAGGCCAAAACAGCCCCAGGGGTGCGGGCTGCAGCCCGAGAACCCTTGGCAAGCCACACTCTCCCGCGGGGGCCCATATGAGGTCCCCCTCAGGACTGGCCCGCGAGTTTGGAATTTTTGCCTCCGCGCGGCCCTGGGGCACGCTCGCGTGCAGCCGGGGAGGAGGAGGAGGAGGAGGAGGAGGAGGAGGAGGAGGAGGAGGAGGAGGAGGAGGAGGAGGAGGAGGAGGAGGAGGAGGAGGAGGAGGAGGAGGAGGAGGAAGGAGGAGGAGGAGGAGGAGGAGGAGGAGGAGAGAGGAGAGGAGGAGGAGGAGGAGGAGGAGGAGGAGGAGGAGGAGGAGGAGGAGGAGGAGGAGGAGGAGGAGGAGGAGGGAGGGATGGGAGGGAGGGAGGGAGGGGAGGGAGGGAGGGGGAGGGAGGGAGGGGGGAGGGAGGAGGAGGGAGGGAGGGAGGAGGGGAAGAGGAGGAGGAGGAGGGAGGAGGAGGAGGAGGAGGAAGAGGAGGAGGGATGATGATAATGATGATGATGATGATGATGATGTTGATGATGATTGATGATGATGATGATGATGATGATGATGATGATGATGATGATGATGATGATGATGATGATGATGAGGAGGAGGAGGAGGAGGAGGAGGAGGAGGAGGAGGAGGAGGAGGAGGAGGAGGAGGAGGAGGAGGAGGGAGGAGGAGGAGGAGGAGGAGGAGGAGGAGGAGGAGGAGGAGGAGGAGGAGGAGGAGGAGGCGGAGGAGGAGGAGGAGGAGGAGGAGGAGGAGGAGGAGGAGGAGGAGGAGGAGGAGGGATGAGGAGCCTGGCAGCGGGCCAGCGGGCAATCTCGGATCCGACGCGGCGAATCGAGTGCAGCACGACAAGAGGCCTGGACCCACGCTCTCTGCATGTGGTTTCGAGCCGGATTGATCTGTGATGGCCCCTAAGCCCCAAAATGGGCGAACATGCCTGGCGCAGTGAGGAACTGCAGCGCCCAGATCTCTGGGGTGGGTCGGCCACGCGCAGAGGGGGGCAGGCGGAGGAGGGAAGGCTTCTCAGAAGGATGCTGCTCCTTAGAGAGCGCGGGTCTTCTGAAGCAGCTTCCTTCTGAGAGGATTTCCCCCCTCCCCCTACCCCCCTCTGCGCGCCGCACGTCCAAGGTTCCAGTGTTTCCAAACTGTCCGGACGTTCCCCACGGACTGTAGAGACGAGAGCCGCCAGAGACTCCGGAAATCCAGGAGCGTATCCTGAGCCAATCCTATCTAGATGCCTGCGGCCTTGGGTTGTGGGCCAGTGGCCTTTTGGATGCCTCTGTTAGGGTCTCCCGGGAAGCATCTGGGGAGTTCAGGAGCTCTTGGGGCCTCGTCGGGGCCTCTGGGGGCCCCTTCTGGACCTCTCGGGGGCCTCTTGGGGCCTCTCGGGGAATTCGTGGGAGCCCGCCGGCGATGGCGGGGGCCCCTTTGGGGCGGAGGGCTCGGACTCGTCTCCTGAGTCAGTCATAATTCTAAGTGGGGCTTGTCCCTCTACAGATGGAATGCTCAACAATAGTTGAACAGATAATCAGGGGAAACTTTTTTGACCAGGTCATTTGTTTTCGAGCATCATTTGACTATTTTATTTTTCGTCCCAAATCCGCCTGTAGGAGGACATGCCCGACCTATTCCTAATCCTATCATGGCATCGTTATCGTACGTTCGCGGCGAGCGAAGCGGGGGGGGGTAGAAGGAGAAACCCCTCTCAGAAGGCGGCGGGGGCTCCTTGGAAGCCCTCCAGCCGCCTGAGAGGTTTCCGTGTCTTCAGGGAGGCCTCGAACACTTCTCAGAAGGCAGGGGGGTCTCCCGAGCCTTCCGAGAGGGCCCGCCCCCTCTCACCTTCCCCCCCGGGCTGGCCGCCGAGTGCTACGTCCACTCCGCCCTCGCCCGCGTGGGGTGCGCCGTTCTTCTCTCTTTCGCGCTCGCGCTGCGTGTGCAGCTTCTGCTCCGCGGTCGAGCCCCCGCGCCCTCCCTCTCCTGCAGCATGCTCCGGAGAGCCGCCACGGGCGCACCCCTTCCGCCCGCGCGCCCTGCTGGACGCTCGGCTTGTGCTGCTGCTGCTGCTGCTGCTGCTGCTGCTGCTGCTGCTGCCACCCGCCCGCGGGAGGCCGCGCCCGCCGCGCCCGCCGCGCCCGCCGCGCCCGCGGCCGCCGCGCCGCGGGAGCCCGCGGAGCCCGCGGAGCCCGCGGAGCGGGCGGCCGCGGAGCTGCGGCACGCGGCCGCGGCGGCCGCGGGCGCGGCGGCCTCGGGCTGCGGCCTCGCCTGCGGCCGCCGCGGGAAGGGGGCCGGCGCCTCGGAGCCAGGCTGGCGGGCGGCCTCTTTCTCGGCGGCGCCGCGTCGTCGTCTTCGTCGTCGTCGTAGTCGTCGTCGTCGTCGTCGTCGTCGTCGTCGTCGTCGTCGTCGTCGTCGAAGCAGCCGGCCCGCTCTGGTGTAGGATCTCGCGGAGGCCGCCGCGGGCGCCGCCCCGCCCTCTTGTGGCGGCGGAGCGGGGTCCTCCTCTTCCTTCGGGAGCGGGAGGCGCCGCTGCCGCAGGGCTACCCTTGTACCCCCCAGCTCCCCCACGAGTTGTACAGCAGGAACGACTGAGCGAAAGTTAGAGCCTGGAGGAATGTGAGCAAGGGGAGGATGAGGAGCGTGAGCGTGAACACGGAGGAACGTGAACGTGGAGGAACGTGACCGTGAACGTGCGAAAAGCTTGTACCCCAGCTTCTTCGGCCCATCGCCGATCTCACGGCGATGTATCGCCAATTCCAGCTCGATGTCTCCCCGCGGCGGGCGCGTGTTTTTTGTTTTTGGTGGCCGCGGCCGGGCTGAGAGGAAGAGGTCAGAGGAGGAAAAGGTACCGATATTGCTGCTCGTCCAGGAGAGCCCTTGTCGCCACGGCTGGGTTGTCCTCGACATTCTGGTCAGAACGCACCCCAGGAGAGGTCCGTGGAGTACAATCAGAAAATCCGTAGTGTGGAGGCGCTGCTTCATACTGGCTACTCTTGTACCCTGGCTCGGTTTCTTCGGCCCATCCTGAAGCTCTAAATATGGTAAGTGGGACTCCCAAGGATCTTTCATTCCTAACACCCTGCGTCCTCACTGTGGATTTGGACTGCAGCTGCTTGGGTACCTTTGACTGTAGCTGATGTTGAGTGGATTTGGCCTTTCCCCCCCCTGACTGATCAGCACTGCCGGGCATTGCTGGGCATCTGCTGGCATTGATTGAAATTGCCGGGCGTTGCTTGGAATTGCTGGGCATTGCTTGGCATTGATTGGCACTGCTGGGCATTGCTTGGCCGAGGAAGGCAGCATGGAACCAAGACCAAAGCACCCGAGGAAGGCAGCAAGGCACCACCAAGACAAGCATTTTTGGTTGTCAGCGGTCGCGGTCGAACTGTCAAGGGCAACGTCAGGTTAGTCAGGAGGGACAGAAACACACAGACACAATCAATCGTCGATTCCCCAGAAAATATAGGAAAATATGGGAAGTAGGGGGGGAGACAGAAACCCAGAAAATACGGGAACATATGGGGAATCATTTTATTGGTGTGTATTTATTTGTGTGTCCTGGGGCCCCTTCAGTTAGGGGGGGATAGGTTCAGAGGGGGATGCACCGACCTCCGATCGCCTACTCGATCGCCGGTCGGGAGCCAGATAGCCCACCCCGCCCCAGGAACGTTCGGATTCGCTGTCAGGGGCCCATCGCTGGTCTATCGGCGATGTACCGCCGATTCCAGCTGGATGTCTCCCCGCGGCGGGCGCGTGTTGTTTGTTTTTCGCGGCCGCGACCAGGCTGAGAGGGAGAAGTCCGAAGAGCGAAAGGCATTGATACTGCTGCTTGTCCAGGAGAGTCGTCGTCGCCGCGGTTGGATTGTCCTCGAAATTTTGGTCAGACCGCACCCCAGGAGAGGTCCGTGGAGTACAGGCCAAATAAATAGTGAGGAAGCTCTGCGTCATCAAGGCTACCCTTGTATTCGGGCTTCTTCGGCCCATCCTGAGCCAATGTTGACTCCCAGGAGCTCTAAAAAAGGGAGGTGGGATTTCTGATGGTCTTGCATCCCTTGCCTTGCGCCTTTGCTGTGGATCTTCACTGCAACTGTTTGGGTATCTTTGTGCTCCCCTCGTATGGGAGAAAAGGGCACGGAGCAGAGGACTCACGCCAGAGGTCGTCCTCGGCTTCGGCCTGCGGATGCCCGTTCTGGGCCCCGGGGGGCGTCAGGGGTCGATCTGGGGGGAAGAGAGCCAGCACGGGGTCCTGGCTGCCGATTCTCGAGAGCTTCGGCGGGGATCTTCTACTCAAGCAGTGGCGAGGCGCCCTGGCTTGCCTACGGGCCTACCAACGAATGTCTTACGAACATTCTCTGGCCTGCACGGGATGTTCTCAGAACATTTCTGGCTGAGACTGTATTTTATTCCCGGAAAGGGCGTAGGCCCAGGGTTCTCTTTTAGCTGTTTACCCCCGGGTCTGACGGGAAGAGGGCCGGCGGATTTCTTTTGCGATAAATAACGGTTGGGAAGAGGGCGGGCGAATTCAAAATTGAGGATGTCTTGAACGAAACGCTTGTTTTTCAGAATTGTTTGAGGATTTCTCGAGCGAAACGCTTGTTTTGTCTTATATATTGTCCTCTCCTGGGGACCAGAATTTAGAGGATCTCTCATGTGAAATGCTTGGTTTCACGTGCCCAGGTCTTGAGGATGTCTCGAGCGAGACGCTTGGTTTCACGCCTCCAGGTTGCCCAGGCAGAGGTCAAGCGCCAGGATTTGTTGAGGATGTCTCGAGCGAGACGCTTGGTTTCACGCGTCCTCGTCGCCCAGGCGGATGTCTAGAATGAGGAGGTGTTGAGGAAGTCTCGATCGAGATGCTTGTTTGCACGTGTCCAGGTTGCCCAGGCGGATGCCTAGCATGAGGATGTGTTGAGAATGTCTCGAGAGATACGCTTGTTTTCACGTGTCCAGGTCGCCCAGGCGGATGTCTAACATGAAGATGTGTTGAGGATGTCTCGAGCGAGACGTTTGCTTTCACGTGTACAGGTCGCCAAGGCGGATGTCTAGAATGAGGAGGTGTTGAAAACGTCTCGAGCGAAACGCTTGTTTTCACGTGCCCAGGTCACCCAGGCGGACGTCTCACATGAAGATGTGTTGAGGATGTCTCGAGCGAACTACTTGTTTTCACGTGTCCAGTTCGCCCAGGCGGATGCCTAGCATGAGAATGTGTTGAGGATATGTTGAGCGAAGCGTTTGTTTTCACTTGTCCAGGTCGCTCGGGCGGATGTCTAGAACGAGGATTTTGACAGGATGTCTCGAGCGAAACGCTTGTCCCCAGCACGTTCCGTAGCGCGTCCCCTTGGCACGTCCCGCGGTGCGTCCCCATGGCACGTCCCCTGGCATGTCGCCTGGCGCGTCCCTTGAGACGTTCCGCGGCGCGTCCTCTTGGCATGTCCCCCTGTCAATTAGCTCTGCAGCAGATACTATGTGTTCAGGCAGCTCGAGCTTAAGATCCAGATCATTTCGGTCAGGACTCGGATGCAAAGGAGGACTCGATCCACGACGCTATAGAGCACAACCGCGGCATGGCACATCGCAATTCAGCACGGTACAGCACAGCACAGACTTCGGCACGGTACATCAAGATCGATACAATCAGCATTGCACTTGCCCGTCACCCAATCAGGTGTCTTTGAAAACGTTGCCATGCGTTACATTTCTATATTCCTTTCCGGGTTCGTGGGTCCATCATGTTGGACCTTGACCCCGCCGTTCTGCGTGAGGGGTGCCGCCGAATTGCAGAAATGTGGCAAATCCTTTATGTTTTTGGACCCTCACCCCGCCGATCTGCGTGAGGGGTGCCACCGAATTTTGGAAATGTAGCAAATCCCTTGTGTTTTTGGACCCTGACCCCGCCGATCTGCGTGAGGGGTGCCACCGAATTTCAGAAATGTAGCACATCCCGTGTGTTTTTGGATTCTGATCCCGCCGATCTGCGTGACGGGTGCCGCCGAATTTCAGAAATGTCGCAAATCCCTTGTGTTTTTGGACTTTGATCCCGCCGATCTGCGTGAGGGGTGCCGCCGAATTTCAGAAATGTGGCAAATCCCCTTTGTTTTTGGACCCTGACCCTACGGATCTGTGTGAGGGGTGCCGCCGAATTTTAGAAAATTTGCAAATGCCGTGTGTTCTTGGACCCTGGTCCCGCCGATCTACGTGATGGGTGCCGCCGAATTTCAGAAATGTAGCAAATCCCCATGTGTTTTTGGACCCTCACCCCGCCGATCTGCGTGAGGGGTGCCACCGAATTTTAGACATGTGGCAAATCCCATGTGTTTTTTGGACTCTGATCCCGCCGATCTGCGTGAGGGGTGTCAATTTTTAGCCACCCCAGCGATTCAGACAATACGATTCGGCCGTGGTCAGAATGCTCGTTTTGGGCCTCCCCCCCTCGCGCGGTCCATCAACAAGGAACAGTAAGCAGCAAGAAGTCAACGAGGAACAGCAAGCAGCAAGAAGCAGAACTGCAGCAGTGGAAACTGGAAGCTGCAACTGGTACAGGAGACTGCCAACCTCCGGCCTACAGCCTGGTGGCCCCACAAGGGGGCCGGCGGATCTTGCTAGCCCTCCGCCCCCCGCTGCCACCTTCGGCCCCTCCGCCCTCCCCCCCTCCCCCTCTGGACCTTGCAGAGTGACAGAGCGCTTCCAAAAATAGCCCTCCCGACCTGCAGGCCCATCGGAGCTGCCTCCAATCCTCGACCAGAATTTGGACGTCAAGGTCCTGGTGCTACTTTGCTGGCCCTCCTGGAAGATCAGGGCCCCCGACGTCGTGTTTTTGTTCACGACGTCGACCCCCAGAGGTCTGCGCCCCTTCCACGGGGACCAGTTGTTCCTCCTGGGTCGTTCTGTGACGGCCCCGAGGCCCAGCAAGGGCCCCCGGAGGCCGAAGATGGGGAGGATCTTCCCGTCGTGCTCTCTCCGCAGCGCGAGGAGCGTCTGGGAAGGCCAGGGCTCCCCCCCCCCCCCCCCCGCGAGGGCGCCGGCAGCAGGCTAGGGACGCCCGCGGGCACAGGCCCCGCATGGACACCGAGTGAGCGAGCTGGCGCTGGCGCGGCGCCCTTCCCGCCTCCCGCCCTCCCTCCGCCCTCGCTCCGCCCGCCCGCCCTCCCCAGGGGAACACAAAGTGGCACAAGCATAACAACTCGGAGGTCCGCGCGGATTGCTCGGATCGGCGCTGGGGCCCCCCCTGCGGCGCCTCCGGCGCGGCAAAAGTGGCATAAACATAAAAACTCGGAGGTTCGCGCGGATTTCTCGGATCGGCGCTGGGGCCCCCCTGCGGCGCCTCCGGCGCGGCAAAAGTGGCATAAGCATAACAACTCGGAGGTTCGCGCGGATTTCTCGGATCGGCGCTGGGGCCCCCCGGCGGCGCCTCCGGCGCTGCCCCCGGCGCGCTCCGCGCGCCAGGGCGGGGGTCCAATGCCGATCCGAGACATCCGCGCGGACCTCCGAGTTTTTATGTTTGTGCATCTTTTTCTCGGCCAAGCGCAGAGGGGGGCAAGGGGAAGGGGGGGAGGGCTCCCCGGCTTCTCAGAAGGCGCCGGCCTTCTCTACAGACGTCAGCCCCGGGCCTTCTACGAAGCTGGGCGCTTCTGAGAAGCCTTCCCCCCGCCCCCTCCCCAGACCCCCGACGTAATGATTTTTTCATTACGTCGACTCCAGAGTTCTCGACCCCTTCCCCAGGACCGGTTTGTCATCCTGAGTCGTTTTTTGACGCTCCCGAAGCCCGGTGAGGGCCCCCAGAGGCCGAAAATGGCGAAAAACCTCCCGTCATGATTTTTTCATTACTCGAGGGGGTCTGGGTCCCCCCCCCCCTCTGCGCACCGCCAATGGCTGGCGGGCCACGCGCGCCCTGGCTGCGAGCGCGCACCGCCTCTCTCGCCCGCCTTTTGTTGGGCGCTCCCTCCGCCTCCCTCCGGTGTTCGGAGGGGGCCGAGGGGGCCTCGGCGCGCCTGCCTGCGGCAGGCACTCGAGCGGTGGGAGGTTCGGTCCTCCTCCTCCGCCTCCGCCTCCTCCTCCTCCTCCTCCTCCTCCTCCTCCTCCTCCTCCTCCTCCTCCTCCTCCTTCCCTCCTCCTCCTCCTCCTCCTCCTCCTCCTCCTCCTCCGCCTCCTCCTCCTGTCAACCCCAGCGCGCTCGTGACCGCAGAACCCAGTGGAGTGGTACGACCCCTCCCCTCAAAAGTCACGGCGAGGGTCGTTTCCCCCCCCCCCGCCGGGCGCTCTCGGCTGGTTTCTGGCCCTGGGGCCACCGTCGCTCCTCCTCCTTCCTCCGCTCCTGCTCGCTGTGCTTCGCGACGCGCTCCGCGACGTCCCCGCCGCTTGCTCCGCATTCTGGCCAGCGGCCGCGCCAGGATCAAAAGCTGGTCCGGCCTCGGCTGCGGCCCGCCGCTCCCACATTTAATAAGTGCTCGTGAGCTTTTTTTTCTGTCATCCGAGCGGCGGACGCGTGTCCCGCCGGCCCCCAGGCGGAGCAGCCCTCGAAGATCGCCATGGGGGGCAGGCGGCTCCCCGCGGCTCTCCGCCGCTTTCGGGCCCGCGGGCCCCCCCCCCCCGCGGGCCCGCCGGGAGTGCCAGAAGGCGGCTCGGGGCCGGACGAAAGGGGGGGATTCGGAAAGGAGGGGTTGCGAATTTGCTGCATGCGGCTGGTTTCGGCCTCACCGAGGGGCCCATTCCTCGATACATAGTCGCCTCCGGCGCCGGGAGGCGCCGGGAAAATCAGCTAATTACGTGAGCTGATTCTCAACCCCCCCTTTGCTATCCCCCCCTTTCGCCCGACCCGACTGAAGATCTCGTGCTGGGGGGAAGGCCCCAGGGTCCAGGACCGGTTTCCTTCAGGATGTGCTTCCCCCATGCTCATCGAAGATGGGATCGGCTACATCAATGATCTACCCCAGGATTGTTCCCTCGTCGAATCGACGACAGATATGTACCACGCCCCTATATCTGCGAGCATCCTGCGCATTTTTCACGGGTTCGACGGGGAAGTGAATTCTGGGGAAAACTAAGTCTGTTGTCGATATCCTACTCGAAATACTGCGGCTGATGGCGCCATCTTGGGGCCTCTCGGCGACATCTTGGGGCATCCAGGGCCACCTCCGCGCCATCTTGCGGCAATCTTCAGGCTGTCTTGAGCCTGGGCCCATGATTAGGGGATTTTGGAGCATTGTTGGGCCATCCCAGGAGAGCTGGGGTGGCATTTGGGGGCCTTTGGGGGTCACATTGGGGCTGTCTTGGGCAATATGTAGTGTTCGGGGGCCGTCTTGAAGTGATCTTGGGACATCGTGGAAGCAAAACATGGGACAAGCAAGCACGATGGAACACGTCCTATTTGTTTCAAGTTGATCGGTCCCCTCGGGGGCGTCTTGGGGACCTCACTGAAATCTTGGAGACATCTTGGGGCCTTCTTTGGCCGTCTTGAAGTCTTGAGACCCCCATCGGCTCCTCTTGGGGCCGTCTTCGAGGCCTCTCAGGCCCCCCTGGCCATGGGGCGGCGTCTCCATGGGAATCACAAGGCAACCCAGGGCGGCCAAGAACTGAGGGAGCTTCACTCCCAGATGAGCGACGCCAAAAAATGTGGGTCGTCTGTGCCGACACTCGCGCGTAAGCTGCCCGCGTAAGGTCGCGCGCGAGCGCCCTCGTCTCCAATGCAGCGTGCCGCGCTGGCGGCCCGCGTAAGCCACTGCGTCAGATCGCCACGCCATCTCGCGTAAGACCCGTGTTGGATTGCCGTTCAGATGTTTCCTTCGATGTCACCACCGCCGTGGTAGACTGGAGTGGCGTCAGGCCTGGAGAGGCAAGGGACAAGAACCAGAAGCCAGCAGACAGCAAACAAGACAGCAGCCCAGCAGCATCTCCACAGCATGGCGCCGCCCAGGAGGGCCTGCGGATAAGTGGCCCATATGCAGGAAGGCTTCTGCCCGACGCCTTCCCTCGGACGTGGCAAGTCATCGCACCGCCCTGGTTCCTGGACCCCCCGCGTCGTGATGTTTCGCGTGAACCCCTCGGAGTCTCGACGCCTCCCCTGGACCTGCTTTTCATTA